TTGGGTGTACAGAAAAAAATTCCCAGGAAAAAAAAAAAGAAAAAGGAAACATTTTGTGAAGATAAATATCCTTTGTAACTATTAAACATTTATTTTAATATTGTGGTTTCTAATGCCGATGTATTATATGTAAAAAAGGAAAAACTATCAGATATTATTATATATATTTTACTTAAATTTTTTTTTGCTGTGCTGATAAATGCATTTCATTCACAACACCATTTTAGAGGTATTCAGGCATATACAGTAATTGAGGGGGAAGAGAAATCAGGACGGAGCGCTACGACTGTGTCAAGTCATCGACCACAATAAAGATTCATATTTACCGCTCACACTTTACAATTTTTAGCTTCAAAAGGTTTTGTTTTTATTTTTGGTTTTCCCCCTCAACATTAATTACACACATTTCAGCGGACAATTAATTATTCATTTGTTTTATTTATTTTTTCAGCATTTAAATGTTAGCAGCAAAAATAATTTTCAGATTTTGGCTGTATTACTTCCAACATTAGAAGTTTAAAAAAAAAAGGGCACCGCTCAGGAGAAGCATGGTTATGGAGGTCTTTTATTTTGGGGTGGGGGGTGCATTTGAAATGAATTATGGAATTAATATTTAAAAATAGGAAAGTTTTTTTACCTCATTTCCAGGATCTCAATATGTGTTTTACTGAATGTTTTCATTTTAATACTTTTTAGGTTTGTAAATCTCACACTTTAATAATGTATATAATAGAATAAAATAATATAATCTGCACTATAAGGGGGGTGACTGATGTGAAATGTGGAGGCCGCCATCGCTTTCTATCTGCTCTAGAACAAGTGAGCAGGTTCAGATACTGAATTAAACCGCGGTAGACACGGTTAGAATTTCGGAACATTTGTTTGACTCTCCGTTTATTGATGTGGTGAAATAGAATATCAATTTTGACCGCAGTGGTGAAAGTTTAAAGGAGCGGGTTGGGAAAAAAAAAAATTCAAGGAAAAAAAATTAGAAATTCTAGCAGTGACTGATGTTTGTTCGGGAAACTCCATTTATTCCAAAATAAAAAGGAAACTCAATCAATTAAAAAGGACAAAGGGCGAGTCTCCGATGGCTTATCGATCACGCTGACCGGATTTTTCGTACGAATGTTTGTGGGACAATCTACCCGTGTACATGTATACCTAACGTCAGGTATACACGGATTCATCGCTGAGCAGATCTTCATGCCCTTCACTCGTCAGAGGTCTGGAAGAAAGCATTGCACCAGCTGGGCAGTGCCACATTCAGTGAGATGAGCCCTACAGCAGGACTAAAGCTAAGACTGACGTGCTTTAAAGAAGAAAAAAAAAAACTCTCTCTTACCCCCCAACTGAGGATAACAAGATTAGGATTATATTTATATAGATACACACACACACACACACACACACACTATAATTTTATTCTAATATTGCTTTCATCGGTCTGTGAAGGTTCTCATTCCTCCAGGTCATGGTATAGCTGTAAAAACAAATAAGCCAAGACAACTGGACTTGCTGTATTTTTCTTGAAGATGTTTTTCTGGTCATCCGACCAGCTTTCTCAATCCATTGTCTTGATTATATTTATTTTACAGATACTTGTTACCCTCTGTGGCTACACGTGACCCTTTTTACAATGCTAATGGCAAGTAGCCAGACTGACACCCTGTAAAGCAGCGGTTCTTAACCTTTCTAGTGCCGCGACCCTTTGATAAAATTGCGACCTGATGGAGAACTGCAGGTCCACTACTGCTGATTGACAGCAGCAGTGGGCGGGTGCAATAGCTAGTTTGCTATTGGCTATTGCAAAGTGAACTAGCCAATAGGAATCTAGCTATGCATTCCTTTTTTGTTTTTCTGACTGATGGCGGCCAGCGGCGCCGATGTCACAAAAAAACCAGAGCAGGGAAAGGTTTACTCTGCTCGATCGAGCAGCGTAAACCTTTCCGGTAGAAAGTGTTTCTCTCCCGGGCGGTTGGAAGGCGCTATCTAATAGCGGGAGCGTTGGGATGTCTTTAGGCGACCCCTGGCAAATCGTCATTGGACCCCCCAGGTTGAGAACCGCTGCTGTAAAGCTTTCATTGCCGTGCTGCACGCAGTTATGGGATGGAACTCGCCATTCTATTGTGTAAAAGAAACAAAAGCCGGCCTATCACTGCGGCACTTTCTATCGCTGCAGTTGTCTGTCTGATAATTCTCTGTATCGGCCTTCCGTCTCCTAGACTCTGTAACATTTCTATACGTCTGGACTCAATTATTCATAAAGCTTTCCCAGAATCAAAATGTAAATTGGAAAAAAAAAAAATTCTCTATAATTTATTTTGTGAATGTTTTAATTTTTTGTCTCCGTGTAACATGAAATCCGTACAGAAAATGTACATTTCTATGCGCAGCCAGCTGGCTCTGGCACCTAAACGGTTCTAACTGGCGCCGTATGGGTGGGTTCATGTTTATGCGGGTCATAAAACTGACAAGTTAGCTGAGATGGATCTGGTGGTTCAGTTCAGCGTGTTCTAAAGACGCAGAGATTCCGTGCCGAGGGAAACAAATACAAAGGAAAAAATATATATATATTTTTTTCCTTCTGTTCATTCAGAAGGGAATTTATCAAATCTGGAGCAGCTGTGCACGGCAACCAATCAGCTTCTCTCTTTCATTTTCAAATCTTAAATGAACAAACTGAAGAGAGAAGCTGATTGGTTGCCATGAGCAACTGCTCCAGATTTTGATCAATTCCCCTCTCGGTCTTTCCAATCAAAAAAATTGAATATTTGCGTAAAATAATGAACGGTGATCCAATGTTGAATCATTTCTGCCGTTGAAGCTTCTTACAAATGAGCTGGATGATCACAGAGCCGTGACCTGGGCGAGAAATCACATTATATAACGGAGACTGTTGATGGGATTTTATATATATAAAAACTAGTTTAAAAAAAGCTGTTAATACTTTTGTTTACATTTAATAAAAAAAAAAGTAAAAAATCATTTACAATTCACGTATTAAAAACAAAACTAAAACAAATCACTTTATAATCTACAAATGGAATTAAGGAAAGAAAGCGGCATTCCAGTACATTAGTACATTGCGGTATGAAATGTTTGGATGTACCCACCATGTGAAGAATCATTTCATAGAACACGCACTCCTGTGTACACAAATATTTATTAAACGGTCACATTTGATTAGTGTCCAGGGAGCCCCCCCAAAAAAGCAGCGACCTTTCCAATGCCTCCGCTTCACTGGCCGTGGGCTTGGCCCCACCTCTTGTTACTCACTATTGGTCAGTGAGACTGTCCATCACAGCAGTTGGCCAATAGTGAGCGCCCATGAGCACAGAACCTTCATTGATACTTTGGGGGTACAACATAAAGCCTATGTAGATACAACGGGGGGGAATTTATAAAAATCTGGAGCAGTTTCCCACGGCAACCAATCAGCTTCTCTCTTCAGTTTGCTCAGTTGGGATTTGAAAATAAGAGAGAGAAGCTGATTGGTTGCCGTGCAAATCTGCTCCAGATTTGATACATTCTCTCTCTCTCAATGAGCTCCTGAGATTTTGTAGAAGATGCCCCAAAGGGGGTAGATCTGAAAGCACCTACTCCAAGCATCTCGCTTGAGGCTGAGGTACCATGACGCAGCCCGGTCACAGGGGATTCATGGTCTCAGATCAGCATTGAATAGAAGTGAAAGGTTAGTAAATATTTGTACTCACAGGTTTGCTTCAAAATGTAATTATTATTTTTTTGGATGATCAGCCCCCCCAAAAGAGTGGCGGCGCTCGTCTACAACGTCCACTCCTGTTCACCAAAGGCACTGAAAGTATATTCATATCTCCTATAAGAGTCCAGATTGTAGCAGAAGATCAGAGAGCTCCGCCCCCCTTTCTGTCCAGTGTCGGTAGGTGGTACGGCTTGACGTGCGGCTTCCCGTGTTGGTGGTTTTCAAACTGTCAACATAAGACACAATCAGCCAATCGCAGAGCCCCGCACCCTCCCCCAGGGACCATCCGCCCTACAGGTACTGTACCTTGGAGTCCATGTACTTGACGCTGGGAATTATGGGTAGTTTCCCACCGTTTCCGGGGAACGGGAACACCGATTGATACTTCATGGACGGGAAGGAGACTGGCTTCGTTACGGCCGGTAGGTTAAATTTTGGCATCTCCATTGGGTAGGCCGGCCCCTGATGGTGGAAAGGAAGGTCCGCCATGGTTTTTAAGGCCTGCTTTAAAATAAAACCATTTCCTTTTGTTTTGTAATGCAGAACTACAGCAAACATCATCGTGCGTGTATCATAAAACACCAGCCATTCGCCATTTCAACCCCCCTCCCCTCCCCCCCATATTACATCAACATGATATAGAGAAGTATAGAAACGTGTCAGCTTGGCGCTCATTGGCTATTTCCCAATGCCCATATAGCGTGTCCCTGGTGCTGGGTAAGCGCTCAGACTGCGTCTAGATGTATCGACCAATGAGGATGAGGTGTAGAGGAAGAAAGTTGGAGGGATTGACCCTTTATGTCTCCCACCCCGGTCCGGTCTTCATGGTGGAAGATATCCGGATATCCTGGTGGACGCATCACCGGCCCATCTTACTATAATGGTGGCCAACGGCAATGTGCCTGCGCAGCGTTGGACTCGGAGGTGAGAAGACAACGAATGTGGTTTCTGATGATGGAATGCGTTTCCTGCGGTAGAGAAACCATCCCGAAGAATTGTTTAGCTAAGCTCCCCGATAGGCCGAGGTCTGCGAGGGTTGTAACCAGCTTATTATCCAGTCAAAGAAAGCCTTAGGTCTCGTTCACACCTAGGCGTATTGCATATGCGCGACCGTCGCGCGTTTTTTTACCGCGATTCGCACGTTTCCGAAGGCTACTTGGCTGTATCGCAATGGAAACGCGCAACAAAACGGCCCAAAGTAGTACCTGTACCTTTTCAGGCGTGGGCCGTTTTGTAGCGTGTTAGGGACGGGCGGAAATACGCCAATGTGGGAACGAGACCATTGAATACAATGGCATTTAGATGTTTGAGCGTTTTTGTTTTGAGCGTAGAACGCGCTACAAAACGGTCAGGTGTGAACGAGGGCTAAGGCCCCATTCACATTGAGCGATTTGCAAATTGCGTGTTTGTTGCGCGATTTGCATTTTGTGCGATATCGCGCAAATGCTCGCATTGAGCAAGCTAGAATCGCGGCAAAATCCGCTCCAAAAAGGGTCCTGCTGTAGCGATGCGCGACCCGCGACGGACAGAGCCCCATTGAGATGCATTGGAGAGCGTTATCGCGGGAATTACCGCGGGATAAATCGCTCAGTGTGAATGGGGCCTAAGTCCTCCCGTGCTATCGGCCAATGTATCAAAAGGGCGGCCTTGTCCTTCCCCGGCCCGAAGCCGAATGTCATTGAGATAATGAAAACTGTAACCCCTCCCCCAAGAAAAACACTGAGCGTCACGTGTCCCCTGGGCCCGCCGAGCGTCACGTGTCCCCTGGGCCCGCCGAGCGTCACGTGTCCCCTGGGCCCGCCGAGCGTCACGTGTCCCCTGGGCCCGCCGAGCGTCCCGTGTCCCCTGGGCCCGCCGAGCGTCCCGTGTCCCCTGGGCCCGCCGAGCGTCCCGTGTCCCATGGACGGGCGAAGGTGAAAGTTTTACCTGCCTTCTTCCTTGGCCGGCGATCCGCATCAAGTAGCTCATGGAACCTGCGGTGTTGGACTTTTCCGGCATGCCGAATTTCCGGGACAGAACGCGCTTCTCCAACGTCCTGAGGATGGAACATATGAGAAAGGTGAGGACGGGCGAGTACCGGCGAGTACCGGCGCTCCCGCAGCACTAACCTTCCTTCTGTGGAGGGCGGGGACAAGACCACTGCACTCGGCTCCATCACTGACCGGACGGAGCCGCAGCCGAGCTTTGAGCGCCCGCTCACACCGGGGGGTTCGGCACGTGCAGGGCCGGCGACATGAACGTTCCCGTACATTGCTATGGCGACCGTCCTCATAAAATCCGTGCGGAAAGTGCGCTGATCCGTGACCGCCCCGGTGTGACTGGGGCCTAAAACAAGAGCTCACTGACCTCTGTAGCTGTAGGCTGTGTGGTGCATTCACACGGGACACGGATGTGGTTATTTGTCAGAGGCTCCGCCTCCTGCAGCTTCTGCTTTGTGTTTACAATAGAAATGAGAAGAATGCAAAGTTATGCTGGGATTAGGGAAAGCTGAGTCACCGCTGGGAGAGGGCGCAGGGGGGAGGTGAGTCACCGCTGGGAGAGGGCGCAGGGGGGAGGTGAGTCACCGCTGGGAGGTGAGTCACCGCTGGGAGAGGGCGCAGGGGGGAGGTGAGTCGCTGAGTCACCGCTGGGGGAGGAGAGCCGCTTGTATCAGTGAGAGGTGTGAAGGTGATCTTATAAATCACTGCTGGGAGGGGGAGCTGATTCCGCTGTCTCCGAAGTGCAGATATCACCTCAGAACAATCATCCAAACTACAGAGCGCAGTAAATGGAAATCTGCAGAACTTAATTTACAATGTGCGTTAAGGAAGAACTCCGGGGACATTTTGTATGAACCCCTCCCCCGCACTGCAAAGGGTTAACGGCTCATTTTGGTCTAGGGAGGAAAATAAGAAAGTTATACTCATCCGATCCTTGGAGCTGGACGGCTCTTAGACCGGTCCCCGGAGCATCCCTCTCCCTCTGCTCCCGTCAGACCCAGTGCTCTGCCATGCTAATGACGCTCACGCTTTCCCTGATGCGCGTTTTGGCTTTTGACCGACTTTATCTTTTCAAAACTTTAATAATTAGAGAACAAAACCCCGGCTGACACGACACCGGAGGGAAGGCGGCAGTGAGATCGCAGAGAGCTGTGCGTGGCGTCTCCCCACTATCAGCTCTTCATGTGTATTGGGCTACATGGAACATGCGTTGTTGCCAGTCTCTGCCCGGGGCCCATAGTGCGCGTGGCGCTCGCTGATCATATTTCGGACTCAGTCGGGGTATTACCTGCATTCTGCAAAGTAAGCGTGCTGCAGGGACTGTCCGGCGGTGATCCGCTCCTCCGGGTCGTACTCCAGCATGGCGCACATGAGCGAGACGCTTTCCAATGAGACGCCTGGAAGCAGCCGGCTGACCCCGCCTCCTCTTTTGGACGGGAAGTCAAAATTCATTGCTCGTGACCTGCAAAGGAAAATGAAAGTCTCAGTAGAAGTGACAACAAAGACACGTCCGGCACAGCGCTGCAACACCGACGGCCCCGCCGCACATTTATTACTGCAGATATACTACAGGAGATGGTCAGAGACTGCAGACATGATACAGGAGATGGTCAGAGACTGCAGACATGCTACAGGAGATGGTCAGAGACTGCAGACATGGTACAGGAGATGGTCAGAGACTCCAGACATGATACAGGAGATGGTCAGAGACTGAAGACATGCTACAGGAGATGGTCAGAGACTGGAGATATGGTACAGGAGATGGTCAGAGACTGAAGACATGGTACAGGAGATGGTCAGGGACTGCAGACATGGTACAGGAGATGGTCAGAGACTCCAGACATGGTACAGGAGATGGTCAGAGACTGCAGACATGGTACAGGAGATGGTCAGGGACTGCAGACATGGTACAGGAGATGGTCAGAGACTCCAGACATGGTACAGGAGATGGTCAGAGACTGCAGACATGGTACAGGAGATGGTCAGAGACTCCAGACATGCTACAGGAGATGGTCAGAGACTGAAGACATGGTACAGGAGATGGTCAGGGACTGCAGACATGTTACAGGAGATGGTCAGAGACTGCAGACATGGTACAGGAGATGGTCAGAGACTCCAGACATGCTACAGGAGATGGTCAGAGACTGAAGACATGGTACAGGAGATGGTCAGAGACTGAAGACATGGTACAGGAGATGGTCAGGGACTGCAGACATGTTACAGGAGATGGTCAGGGACTGCAGACATGTTACAGGAGATACCCTGTGATGGAGAGGTGGAGCGCCCCTTTAACCTTCACAATACTACACAAAGGTAAAACCACTTACTGTTTAAACTTCCTGAGCACAGCGGAGGTCGGCGTGCCGAGGACATCGTGGATTTTGGATATCTGGTCCAGTTCGTTTGTGCCAGGAAAGAGGGGATGGAGGCTGAAATGTAGATAGAGGAGAATGAGCCACTTATGGTGTTATGGTACGAGGACACACACA